GAAATACAAATTTTTATTCATTGAAAAAGAGTTACAAAATACATATAAATATTTACTCTTGTGCTCTCCTACTCGGACGCATATCCATTTCATTTGTAAATCGTGTTCTTTGAGGCCTACCGGTTTGACTGCGTCGAGCACTTTGAGGCGGTATCACTACATATCCGGTATCAGGCATCGCACTTACGTCATGCATAGGCATAATATCTGTAGCATACGTACGGATGTACGCACCTAATTTATACACGTCCGGGATGAGATGATCTACAGTTATTTCTAAGAAATGGCATGTTGCATAGGCGTGCACACATGGAAATCCATTTTGCTTCCAAAAACCGCAATCACATTCGCAACGTGAGAGATTTACCGTTACCGGCGGATAATCACGGATGGAAACAGAGTATATTCCCGTTGTTCGGTTATGCGGGACAATAGTGCACTGATGTCTTTTCTGTGAACGTTCAAGAATATCTTTCCATATATTTTGCGGATATAGGAACCCAGCTTGCCGCCACATCTGACCGGCCCTACGTCGATCGGCAAATAGTTGGACAACTTTGTTATAAGTTGCCTTAACCAGCGCGATGATTGGAAGTGCTCGACATCCCTTTAGAACGTTATTGAAGCTCTCGGAAAGATTTGTTGTGAGGATGCCGTAATGTCGTCCATCGTCGAAGCACATTGCCCAATTTTCACGTGAAATAGCGTTCAAATACGTGAACGCATTCTCATTCGTAGCACGAATTTGAGCCATTGTTTGGTAAAATTCACTCACCATGGGTGTACTCCCGGCCTGCCAACAGAGCTTTTTCAGTTCAGTGCTCCTGAATTTTGTCATGAAATTGCTTCTAATGTGTCGGAGGCAGAACCGCTTCGAAACTTGGGAGGTTTTCAATTGAGGTACTGATTGATAGGCACTTAGGATGCCAGGGTGTCGATCTGATATTATGCACACATGCCGATTTGGTCTGACAACATAAGTCATAATGTGTTCCAAAAACCAGGACCAACTATTTGTGTTTTCACTTTCCACAACTGCGTACGCGAGAGGGAAAATCTCACGGTTAGCATTCATGGCGACTGCAACCAAAAGATGACCCTTGAACTTTCCGTACAAGTGAGTACCGTCAACAGATATTACGGGCAGACAGTGTTCAAACCCATCAATGGAAGCTTTAAAAGCCCAAAACGCACGATGAAATTCATACGTACCATCATGACTGGTTGGTTTTGGTTGGAAATCTACCACTGACCCCGGATTTGATTCTCTTATCGCAAGCAACAAATTGGGTAAATCATTGTAGGCCGCCTCCCAGTTCCCGAATCTTCGTTCAAGGGCAATCAAACGTCCATACCACGCCTTTTTGTACTTGACATTGATTCTGAATTTGTCGTATATGTCTTGCATCACGAGTTTAATGCTGTAGTCCGGATCAACATGCACTTTTGTAGCGATTCCACTCGCTATGATCTTGCTCGTCATAAGCCTGTCATTACGGGCTCTTTTATAATCCACTCTGCAGTTGTGTAGTGGTTGATATTTTTTCACCTTCCACAAATTGGTGTTGAGAAGGTTTCCCGCCTGAATGTGCCACATACACATGTCATCATAGATGCAAACGGCCTTCCACGATCTCACACGTTTGTCTTCTGTCTTAAAAATTCGAGATTGCCGAATATTTTCTATTGTTACGGCTTCTTTCAGTAAGTCGTATGAATCGTATATTTTGCCGACCGCAATAGTTTCATTATCACGATTCGCTGGTTCAACATATGGTTGTTCCAGCTCAATATCGGCCCATGTTGTGTCATGAGCGTCATCACTATCGTCAGAATTTGTTGTTGCATCGTCATTTCCAGAAAATTGTTCATAATCTCGATCATCTTCCTCTTCATATGCTGTTGAAGGGCCATCTTCATGTTCAACTGTATGCGGGTTGTAGCGTCCGCCGTATCTCGCACGTTGATGGTCCGTCATCGTTGGAGTGGATATTGTGAAAGGTTTCACAATTGTGGGTGTCACCTCCTCCATATGTTGATATTTGTGGTTGGACTATAGAGGTTCTTCGGGCATCCAGGAAAATATGTAATTCTCCATAGTCTCTTTCAGCAAGTCGGAAAAAGTGCTTCCAAGTATCATCATCATGGATGGGCCACAGTCTTGATGCCACATACACACGATTTTTGTACTTCGGTAATTTTCCGTGAATGGATACAATTTCTCCAAAACCTCTCTGCGCACACTCTTCGACAATCCGCTCGTTTATAGCGTTAAAGTCATCGTCATTGCTGGTTAACAGCGCTGCGCTCGGAGGAATGGAATACTCAACTTCATCATCTTTCATAATAATAGAACCATTCCAGTGGACACAAACTGGAGTTTTATGCTCAGTTGCCATTTTTTTGTATATGGTAAGTAATATCGTAGGAAATATAGGGAGTTGATGATAGATAGCTAGGAACTCTAAGGTGATAAAAAGATATCAAGAATATGGTGACTGAGGATTTGGGTGCAAGTGATGAGCCCTTTATAGTAAAAAAAAATTAGTACTTCGTTGGAAAGGTGTGTGTAATTTCTTTAATAATAGTAGTTATGAGTATTTGGGTGCAAGTGTTTGAGAGGAAGTGTTTGAATAATAAGTGGTTGATTGATTTAATTTAAAGTGAGTGGAATCTGTACACTTTTATACCCGGAATATTTTTTTTAAATCAAAATTATTGATAGTTGGGAGTGGGTTTAGGTGGGTGCAATTGGTTGGGAGAAGTGGTTGAAATTATTTCGAATAATAAGTGGTTGAAAAAAAATTGAATGTTGTGTAGAATTATTGATTCCCGAAGTGACAGGGAATCTGTTAGAAAAATTAAAAGTTGATTGATTTAATTTAAAGTGAGTGGAATCTGTACACTTTCGTACCCGGAATATTTTTTTTAGATCAAAATTATTGATAGTTGGGAGTGGGTTTAGGTGGGTGCAAGTGGTTGGGAGAAGTGGTTGAAATTATTTCGAATAATAAGTGGTTGAAAAAAAATTGAATGTTGTGTAGAATTATTGATTCCCGAAGTGACAGGGAATCTGTTAGAAAAATTAAAAGTTGATTGATTTAATTTAAAGTGAGTGGAATCTGTACACTTTCGTACCCGGAATATTTTTTTTAGATCAAAATTATTGATAGTTGGGAGTGGGTTTAGGTGGGTGCAAGTGGTTGGGAGAAGTGGTTGAAATTATTTCGAATAATAAGTGGTTGAAAAAAAATTGAATGTTGTGTAGAATTATTGATTCCCGAAGTGACAGGGAATCTGTCAGAAAAATTAAAAGTTGATTGATTTAATTTAAAGTGAGTGGAATCTGTACACTTTTGTACCCGGAATATTTTTTTTAGATCAAAATTATTGATAGTTGGGAGTGGGTTTAGGTGGGTGCAAGTGGTTGGGAGAAGTGGTTGAAATTATTTCGAATAATAAGTGGTTGAAAAAAAATTGAATGTTGTGTAGAATTATTGATTCCCGAAGTGACAGGGAATCTGTCAGAAAAATTAAAAGTTGATTGATTTAATTTAAAGTGAGTGGAATCTGTACACTTTTGTACCCGGAATATTTTTTTTAGATCAAAATTATTGATAGTTGGGAGTGGGTTTAGGTGGGTGCAAGTGGTTGGGAGAAGTGGTTGAAATTATTTCGAACAATAAGTGGTTGAAAAAAAATTGAATGTTGTGTAGAATTATTGATTCCCGAAGTGACAGGGAATCTGTCAGAAAAATTAAAAGTTGATTGATTTAATTTAAAGTGAGTGGAATCTGTACACTTGTGTACCCGGAATATTTTTTTTAGATCAAAATTATTGATAGTTGGGAGTGGGTTTAGGTGGGTGCAAGTGGTTGGGAGAAGTGGTTGAAATTATTTCGAACAATAAGTGATTGAAAAAAAATTGAATGTTGTGTAGAATTATTGATTCCCGAAGTGACAGGGAATCTGTCAGAAAATTTAAAAGTTGATTGATTAAATTTAAAGTGAGTGGAATCTGTACACTTTTGTACCCGGAATATTTTTTTAGATCAAAATTATTGATAGTTGGGAGTGGGTTTAGGTGGGTGCAAGTGGTTGGGAGAAGTGGTTGAAATTATTTCGAACAATAAGTGATTGAAAAAAAATTGAATATTGTGTAGAATTATTGATTTCCGAAGTGACAGGGAATCTGTCAGAAAATTTAAAAGTTGATTGATTTAATTTAAAGTGAGTGGAATCTGTACATTTTTGTACCCAGAATATTTTTTTAGATCAAAATTATTGATAGTTGGGAGTGGATTTAGTTGGGTGCAAGTGGTTGGGAGAAGTGGTTGAAATTATTCCGAACAATAAGTGATTGAAAAAAAATTGAATGTTGTGTAGAATTATTGATTCTCGAAGTGACAGGGAATCTGTCAGAAAATTTAAAAGTTGATTGATTTAATTTTAAGTAAGTGGAATCTGTACACTTTTTTACCCGGAATATTTTTTTTAGATCAAAATTATTGATAGTTGGGAGTGGGTACATAATAGTAAAGTTTAAGCTTAGGACTACAAATTACTACAAATTACTACAAATTACAAATTCAATTGATAACTTAATTCAAAATTATCAATTGAATTATTGAATTATTGAAACGTAATAGTAAAAGTACCTGATAATAATAACATAATATCAAATTCGATTGATAATTTAAAAGTACAAATTCAATTCATAATTGATAAAACTAATTACATACAACTATTCTGATTCATCAGATTCATAGTGTCGACCTGGCACCACGAAGTGACTCCCTGTCCCACAGCGTCGAGAATGTATATCCCGTCTCGGCCTATGTTCAATTGGCGGTTGTGTGCTTGGCCCTGCTTCTTGCCCCATCCCACTCTGTACATCTGATCCTAATAAGTTGTTCAACCAATCAATTGGTGAATTTAAAAAGGTGGGACGTGTCTCATATGTAGGCTGTACATGTGGAATAAACGATGGCGCATCAAACGTCGGAATGTATGCACTAGTCGGTGTAGAGTATTGATTAGGTACATGAGATGAGGAAGGGATGTGTGAATGAATATGTGAAGATGGTTGTCCTTCTTCTTCACCACCATCTTCGTCATCCTCTTCCTCCTCCTCATCATCATCATTATCATCATCGTGATTATCATCATCACCATCATCATTGTCGACGTGTGGAGCAACATAACCGCGTCCGTAACGCCGACCTCTAGTGGCCGCGACTCTTCTACGGTCTTGCCGAAGTGGAGGATGATCATCCACTGCATCATCATGGGCATCCCCATAGAAAATGATATCTTGATGAAGCACATTCTCGGCACCTAATCCTGTAAGGCATCGTGCAATTTGCTCGCGAATGTCTTCGACGTCAAATGGAGCTGCCATGCGCCGATAGATATCGCCCATACATTGCATCTAAAATTCAAAAGTAAAGTTATTAAATAATAATAAACATTTCTAAGTTGAATAATTACACATAAGATACTTACTAGTGTACTTGTCTCCCTGTTAGTAGTTACATAACCCGTTGTAGGTCGACCATGTAACGGATTGCAAATCCGTCGTTTCCCGACATTTGCGTACCATTCACGGTACGCAGGAGTGTAGGTGGGATGATCAACGAACTCAAATGCGATACGACGATTGTGCCTCACCGCCCATAGTGTCAATGGCCATCCAGAATTTTTTGCACCACTTGCATGGTGGCTAGCTTGTGATTCCGCTGCGGGAGGAATATGTTGCATTGCACCGAATTGACGACAAAATCTACCGGGGTAGTACATCTCAGAAATGTCACAATATATAAGCATGACATTAGATGTCCACAAATCTACTCCCGCGACGCAGAACCTGGGGAGGGCTTGTAATGCGTATGGGCGCCACACGAACTGGATCAATATTATTTGAAGTTAATTCAAAAACATATTTATTTTCTATTAAACTAAAATGATATTGTTAATTATAACCTCGTTCTCTCGGATCCCGTCCAACTGATCTCGATAAATACGTAGAGTATACCGAGAACTTTGTTCCCAATTGTGCCGACATGCCCACCTTCATAAAAATAAGTTATTATACCATGACCTACAAATATATTTAATATACTAATACTTATTATGTAAAATTTCAAATTATACCTGCACCCATAGGGCATATCCTGTAGATTCTCATATGGCAAAACGTTTCGCGGCCGCACCATGGGCAATCTCTCCCACGCCCAAATCTGCAATAGAAGCAAGCATCCCCCAATATTTCTCCTGTTCGCTTTGGCGGCCTTGCACATGTTGTAATACAGGAACCCCAATACTGCTGAGCCCCAACTCCACCGTCGTGCTTCACCGAGCCGTCCCTGCAACAACTCTAAAAAGTACAATTTTATTTTGTTCCCGGTAGTGGAGGGGAACAATAACCCACCTAGTAGTTGCCAAATGAGCACCCTCGTGTATGTGATGAGTTCCTCATTTGTGTTGTGCTGATGTACCGGCCAACGCTGTAGGGCATTCATTCGTATTACAGATGTGTTTAAGTCGTTGTTGTTTGGCGTGAAACCGGCGAAGTCCGTGCACATTTGCATCCAAAGTGCTTTCGAGTTTGTCCTAGGTCCGGACAGTGGTTCTCCGTCGATGGGCAACCCCAACAACACTTCTACGTCCTGTAAGGTGATGCCCACCTCACCAAAAGGCAAATGAAAAGCGTGTGTCTCTGGTCTCCATCGCTCAACCAACGCCGTAATAAGCGACCAGTCTAACTGCAACCTTCCGATGCAGTCGACGCCGTAAAAGCTGGAGGCCTTCAGCAACGCTACCACTCCTGGGTGACGCGGGCCGTCTTTGTACACCATTGAACAATATAAATTACACCTCAACTTGTCATCCATGGATGTAGCATCATTCCAGACAAGGTCCGCTCGATGCGCGTAACGTGGCATCACCAGCACAGACCGATCAACCGGGTCCATAAGTGGTATTTGTGCAGCCATTCGTATCTCAACTGACAATAAGAATCATATATTAGTGTTATATATGTGTGTGTATGTATATTATAATGACGTGTTTTATTAAATGAAATTATAAATTACACATAAACTTTCAATGAAACTATATCAGTCTTATGTATTACATTATAATATATGTACGGTTGATAATGGGCTTATCCACTGAACAATATTACCACCGTGCCAGAAACTAGAAAAGGACTAGTTCTAGACGAGCTTGTGAAAATTGTACCAGTATAGTGCAATTATATTATATGTTCCCATACAAATTTTAGACTTGCCACTGAGTAATATTCTCACTGTGCCAGAAACTAGAAAAGGACTAGTTCTAGACATAACGTTTGCCAGAAACTAGAAAAGGACTAGTTCTAGACGAGCTTGTGAAAATCGTACCAGTATAGTGCAATTATATTATATGTACCGATACAAATTTTAGACTTGTCACTGAGTAATATTCTCACTGTGCCAGAAACTAGAAAAGGACTAGTTCTAGACATAACATTTGCCAGAAACTAGAAAAGGACTAGTTCTAGACGAGCTTGTGAAAATCGTACCAGTATAGTGCAATTATATTATATGTACCGATACAAATTTTAGACTTGTCATTGAGTAATATTTTCACTGTGCCAGAAACTAGAAAAGGACTAGTTCTAGACATAACATTTGCCAGAAACTAGAAAAGGACTAGTCTAGACGAGCTTGTGAAAATTTTACTGGTATAGTGTAATTATAATTTATGTTCGCTTTTATGGCTCAATTATAATAAATGTTACGGAGTATGAACTAAATTATATTACGTAGTATAATGTTATTTGGAAATAAGTAGTGATGACTAAATTAAAATGTTCAACTAACTAAACTAAATTTAAATTGTAATCGCAACGTAGTCTCAAATTACCATATACACTAATTTAGTACTCCTTCTGTCCTAGAAAATTCTTCACACTTTAAGTGTGGTTGTAGTTGTGTAAGAAAAAGGTCAAATTAATGTGAACCACACAAATTGTACAAAAATGGTAAGTGGGAAGAATTTTTTGGGACGGTCCAAAAAAAAAGTGAGAAGAATTTTATGGGACAGTGGGAGTATTTAATACATTAGTAACAAATATTAGTGAACCAATAATTAGAGTAATTGAAAAACAGTAAATGTGCTTACAATATCAACATAAATTAACTACTGTAAAGGAAACACTACAAATAATTATAAGTTGTGGGCTAATTATTTCTATTGTTATATATTTAGTATGACATATATCAACAATCTTAATAGCAATTAAGATTAATTACATATTAATATTAAGATTTTCGAAATATTCAGGCTGACATAACACAACCAGTACAAAAAATTAACGGTAAAGAGTAAATATATAATTAAAATTCTAACCTTTCTTTGAAAAACTCGGAGAATAGAATTAGCAAGAACACTCAATAGTTTTTTGTAACTAAATTTATTTTTATGGTAGTAGGCTGAATATGATGTTGAAGTGATTTAAATAGGTGAAGTTTGAGATTGGGAGTATGGATTTCCGTGTAAAACAATGGACAGTTGGGATGAGTTTGTTAAATCCTACGGTTAAAAAATGAGCTGAAGAAGCACGATCCGGGTAAACTTGGATTGTCCAATCCGGGAGCTTCATATTTCGGATTAGGGAAATCCGAATTTCTTTGCCTACTGACACACGGCTTTTCACTCCTGACATCCGATTTCTTTTTTTTTTTGGTTTTGAACATTTCGGATTCACCAAATCTGTTTTTCACCGAAAATAAAACCTAAAGTCGGATTAGGAGAATCCGATTAAAGGGATGCTGACAGCTCTGCAAACCCTAAGAAAAGTCGGATTAGCCAACTCTGTTTCCCGTAAATTGGTAACCTAATGCTGACATTCGTATTTTGGGAATGGAGGCATCAAACTCCCGTAAATCCATCCTTTCCTCCTCAACAACATACAAAACACCTTGTAAAGACCCTTTACAAATCGAATACAAAACATTAGATTCATAACCGGTTAACCCAGCAGTATATTGGTAAATACTTTTAAACCAACCCTATTTTCGTAATTAATTAATTAATTAACAGTAATACGGAAAAAAACTCAAAAAATTCTCACAAAATATATGGGTCTAGTAGAGTTTTATTGGGGGCCGCAGTCCCCTCCCCCTACTCTCTTTGTCCATCCACGAACACCTAAATGCTGGCTGGAGCAGTTGAATTTGATAAACTATAGAAAAAATATATTTAGAATATTATTAATAAAATAAATTAAAAACTTTTATGAAAAAATAACTCCTCTAAAGTAATTTTAGTCATTTAAGTCAAAAAAGTAATTGTAACTTTACTTATTTTGGTTATTACACAATTTACCACAGTCAAGAAAAAATTACGTATTTAATAGTTAAGACGAGTGGTATACCGAGAACGTTTACTCATTAATTGCCGGGCCAAGCTACATATGACTATAGCATTAAAATATTTATTATATGTATAAATAAAATCATTGATTTGATACAATTTTTTTTTAAAAAAAAATCATTAAAATTTAGGTACTATATTCAAACAATTTGCTAGAATGTAATCCCCCCCTTTCATATAAATTATGTAGATTGCATCATTCCAGATATAGTTAACTATTTTTTATTTCTAATGAATTTAAATTTGTTTTCTTAAATTTGGAACATATAGTTGTATAACTATTATATTGTGGTGATTTTTCCCCAAAACAGACGCCAAAACTACGTCAATGATCACTATAAGAAATTGTTTTTTTTGCATCCAAGAAACTTTGTTCATTTGCATCGGCAAGTGGGCGCTAATGTTTTGACAATATTGTCTCGACCCAATAAGCTTATATGTGTCCACTTCTGTCGACGCAAATAAATAATAACATACATGCATGTCACACACACACACACACACACACACACACACACACACACACACACACACATATATATATATATATATATATATATATATATATATATATATATATATATAGGGGGGAGATCCCATACAAACTAGGCTTCCGGTGCAAACTACAAACCAATACCATCCGTTGGATTAGAAAAACGGACGGCCTTCCATATGAGATGCATCATTAAACTCCTGCACTCACACGCATGGAATAAAATTTGGAAGCAATTTTTAATCGGTTAATGAATTTAAAAGGGGGTATATGAGTCATTTGATTTACTGTAGTAGCAGCGTGCGTGTTTTTATTTTGGTAAGTTTGAATTATGCAATCATTGAAGTTTAGCCACATCTCATTTAATTCCATGTCCAAGTAACTAACTTCCCATTTTTGAATTACTTCATGATTGACCTTCCATTTTTTAATAATAAAAAAGGGGAGTTGGAGATCTTTAAATTGCACAAATTGCATCCATGTATCATAATACAAAAAGGAAGCCTTCCATTATGAAGAAAGTTACTATTTTTTATGCATTTTACCATTTCTCTTCATTTTTGGCATGAGAGAGATAGAAACAGTAAAATAAATCATTCACATTTCTCTCCATTTTTTATGTGTATATCTCTCTCATGGCACATGCGCGTCGTGCACATTATAGCGTTGGAGATGCTCTTTTAATTTACAAAATGAAACACTTTATAATAAATAATTATTCATTTTTTAAACCTAAATATGGTAAGACGTAGAGCTCTTGATTGTAGAAGTCAATAGTTCAACATAAATTAATTGAAGCACAACATATTTATTTCATGTGCATAATAATGTTATATGATATGCATATTAAGATTATGTGATGTGCATATTAATGTCACGTGATATGCATATTAAGCATACAAGATGTGCATTATACATTCATAATATCTACATAACTTATATTAGAAGTACATAGTTATAAAATATGTCATCGTTGCATTTTAATAGTTCATATGTTGCATGTTATCATCATGACATGTGCATTTCAGAAGTTCTTATATTGCAGTGTAGTAAGATGACATGTGCACTTTAATAGTTCATACTGCATTTCATCGTTACGGCGTCTGCATTTTTGAGTTCATATGTTGCGCGCATTTTATCATTATGACATGTGCATTTTAGGAATTCATATCATGCATCTTATCATTTTGTGATATGCATATTAAGTTTATATGATGTGCATTAATGTCACGTGATATGCATATTGAGAATACAAGATCTGCATTATACACTCATAGTATCCACAAAACATATATTAGAAGTGCATACTTATAACATATGCCGACGTTGCATTTTAGTAGTTCATATGTTGCATTTTATCATCATGGCATGTGTATTTCAGAAGTTCGAATATTGCACTGTAGTAAGATGATATGTGCACTTCAATAGTTCATACTATATTTCATTG